CGGCGAGACATTTTTGCGCAGAGATGCTCGGTAGAAATTTTATCAACCGCTGCTCGAATTTTCACGCTGCGATGTCTGTGGCCGGAGGCGCTTGCTTTCTGATGCGCATTCGAGCTCGCCACCAATAACACAAAATGAAAAACGGCGCAGTTGGCTACATCGGATATCACTTGCTGGTACGCGCGCTCTCGCCCAGGTCCACGATTGATGTGGGTTGTATCCTGCAATCGTTTGCTGCGCGGACACAAGCCACATCCTCCATGGGCATGGGCTGGACTCGGGGAAACGATCCAACCACCAAACGGCCACATCGTCTAGCCAAGACGCGGGTAGGGACATTTCTTTACAGGGGGTGCAAAAAGTGTCAAAGTACGACGCGTTAGACCTTGGCCAAGGATTCAAGATAGCCCATCGCTAGATGACACGAGATAACCCTCGAGGCGCTTAAGAAGATAAGGAGGTGAACAAAAGTGAGTGCCACAAGGGATTTCGTCGGGGACACGCTGGGTCTTGCGATGGTACATAAGTACCGACCCCCGCATAACCCCCCGAAGCGCAAGGGAGGAGGCGTGGTTTTGGGGTGACACTCGTCGGCTTGGTGCACCCTTGCAGCACTTGGTAAACGTTTAGAACTCGAGAAGATTGCAGCGGTGGCAGTGTTTTGGTGCATGCAAAGCTCGAGCGACACCTCCCGAACTTCCACCAGCCCTTGCAACACTCCCTTTTGAGCTACAGCTACACCATCGCTGCCTATCTGGGCGCTCATCGACTCGACCTCCACACCTCGAGGCTAAATGTTCGCCCTCAGCGAACCAATCGCCAGTATTTCCGGGGCTACCTACCATATTTGCAGCATTGCGGCAGGTATTATCGGGACATCTCGGAGAAAAGGGCTCGGCCGTCCTCCCCGAACTTGAAATGACTCATGAGACTAGTAGGGTCGCTCAACCTTCACACTTGAGGTGACTTGGCAGGAATACCATCCTATCCAAGCCGGAGAAAGCGCTATGCAAGAACCTACGAGCATCGAGCTGCAATGTCTCCCACGTGCATTGAATGCGCAACTTTGCTCCAAGAATACGCCCAGCGCGCCAGCTGCTTCTCATGTCTCCGCGCTAGAAGTCATTCCTACGGAGCACCCAGAAAGTGCCATAGAAAGCCAGAACCGGGAGAATGCAGTGGTGCTCCCGCCTGTGGACGGAGGAAAAGAAGCCTGGACTTTCATTGTTGCGTCCTGTGTCTTGGAGGCCCTCATCTGGGGTTTTGCGTTCTCGTACGTTCAACATATCGAGCCGTGCAGTATCAGAGCTAACGTTCTAGGAAACACACGTGTCTAGATATGGGATATTCCAGGACTATTATACTCATAACCTACCATTCAACACCGCATCCGAAACTGCGATCGCGGCAGTGGGGACTATCTGCCTCGCGGCTCAATACATCAATGTGATGATCGTTGTATTTCTTCACGAGCGATGGCCCCATGTCACGAAAAAGATAACATGGATCGCGTTCGCATTATCCTGTAGCTCATTATTCCTTTCAAGTTTCGCTACTAGGGTATGAGTTTCGTACTCCCAAGAAGATCCACTTATACGAATGTGTTCTCTAGGTTTCTCATCTCATGCTTCTACAAGGTTTTCTATCTGGAGTAGGCGGCGGTGCAGTTTATGCGCCGTTGATGATGTGGGTATGTTAAGTCCCTTTCGCTGTAGTACATTATACGGGTGACGAAATATTGTACCTCACTCGAAGCTCCCAGAATGGTTTGTTCGTCGCCGCGGTTTAGCGGGAGGGATCATCTTTGCTGGCGCGGGTCTTGGTGGCGCCTTGTTCCCGGTCCTCATTACTCTACTTCTGGCAAAAACTGGCAGCTGGGGATGGACTTTGCGCATATGGGCGATCTGCATGGCCGTAATTGGCGGAATTGCACTGCGTTTTGTCAAGGCTCGGATGCCAGTGATCAGGAATCAGCCAGGCCAAATCAAACCTGTAAATCTGTCGTTCTTGAAGAGGCCGTTATTCATTTGCATTGTAAGTCGCCCAGACTCTGATTCGATCAAACATTGGTTTTTTAAATATGTGTTCTAGGCTACGACTATCTTCATTCAGGCTGTCGCATACTTCCCTGTTTCACTTTACATGCCCACCTACACTTCTGCGCTTGGCCTGCCCATTATCAACGGCACCCTCGTCCTCGCTGTGTTTAATTTGGCCAGTGTCATCGGCAAGTCCTCCGCCATGTTCTAGCATTCTGTTCAGTGTCATTCATACGGGACCACTTCATTCAATACTCAATGCCTAGGACAAGTGGTTTTTGGCCTTCTCTGTGATCGTTTGCCATATATCCGCGTTATAATTCTGTCAGGGGTCGGCGCTGCACTCTCGGCGTATCTTCTATGGGGCTTCGCGCATACCCTGAGCCTTATCTTCCTCTTCGTCGTTGTCTTTGGGGGATTGGTAGGGACTGCGCTCCCATCTCTGCACGCAGAAAATGATCTGATCCGACCCTCTTAGAGCGGTGGTTTTACCTCCGTTTGGCCCTCTGCAAGCTCGGATATCGCAGGCGCGTATTCCTGTTCTCCAGGGAGACACCCTTACTCTTCTAAAGTTCATGATCGTTCGCAGGCCCTGATTATTCCAATAACATTGTTCTGGGCTGTTTCTCGGTCGTAAAAGGGCTTGCTGCTATCGTCGGACCGCTCATCGCTACGAAACTGCACGACCCGAACATGCTACCTGTGTCCTCTGCCGGCAGTAGCTCAAAGCACTTTGGTGGATACGGATTTACGAGCGTGACGCTTTTCGTTGGTGGTATGATGGTAGCTACGGCAGCGGGGGGTGTGCTATCATGGGGTGCAAAGCGATGGACGATCATGATCCGTTGAACTGAGCTTACTCATGTATATTGAGCTTCGAGCATCTAAAACAAATGAATAACCCGGAAATGGAGCTCCTTAAACGCAAAATTTCGCGTTAGCCGTGGTAGCGCTGAATATTCATCACGTGACTCGACAATGAACATGATGAGGTGCCGCCTCTGCATCTTGGTAATAGTAGCACTTGTGCACTCACGAGGACAGAAAAATGCTTAATTTTGATGACGATGGAGGGTAACGGGAGTATGTAGGAAGAAAGGTCAGCAGGTTTAATTCTCCTATGATGCGAAATTCTGCTGAATACTAGGCTGACGATGGAACTCAACCCGCTTAGCCTTGGTATCTTCAGCCGATTGTAATACTCAAAGTGAGCTCAGTCGACCTGTGCGGCACCCCAGCTTTACGGTGAATTATAGCTGACAGCGCCTTCAACCTTGAGTTTTCAATGCCTAAGAATCCCGCCCGGCTGAATGACTGGGTGGGTGGCGGCTTGCTCTTTCTTCGCCACTGTCGATTTGACCGAGATAAGCCAAGTAGCGGGGGCGCTCGGTCATACAAGCGGCCCCGCCATGCCAAGGTCACACTGACTAGCTTTTCTCTTGAGAAACCGTAGGTGGGATCGGGACGAAGGCGGCAAGACTTTAGCGAAGGACCGGGTACTGGAAAAGGTCGCCTCAGATCACAGGTTACACGCTCGAGTCATTTACCTGGCAGCGTATCACGGTATCTTGCGAATAGAAGCCTTGGCGTACAGAGTATAAGGGCATGAAAAATTATACTTGACTGGCGGGAAGAAAAAAGTGTTGCTCTGTTCACGAAAAGCCCCACCGGCCGCCACTTCCCTGATCGCCAAGGTAGTAGCTCTAGGCAGTAAGTACTTCCAGTGTCACAGAACTGGCACCTAGATTGTATGGCAAACTCGCAAGCGACTGAGCAGGGTGGGCAGCCTCGGTGCCGGACGCGTCAAGACGTTATCGGAGGGTTTACCAAGCTGGCGATAATCGAAAAGCAGCGGGAGCGGGTTGAAAATTGAATGCCACCCTAGCGCCTCGGCCCTCGACTCTTGAAACGAGTATCTGTTCAGCGCACGGCTTGGCTATCACCAGAACTGCAGGGCGTAGGGATACATCTCCCCCTTCGTCCTGAAGCACGGGCTATGGGCCGTTTCGCCGAAAGCCCAGGAGAAGTACGGTGAGCGCCGGAGCAGTTCTGGCCCCCCGAACGGTATTGGACGCCTCGTGGAAGTTTCGGGTGACCAAGGGCTTCGCAGCGTGTACAATGGCTCGAGGAAGACGAGGCCATCGGGTTCGCGAGCATGGGACATGTAGGTGCTCCAGGGATTTTGCGGATGTCGTCCACAAAGCCTCGTAGGTGGTGAGAGCGCGAAACAGAGAAGCAAGAAGCTGTGCCAGGCAAATACAGTCATCACCCACTCCTTGGGACGATTTCATCTGGGGATGATAACTCTTTTCCTCTCTCCACAGCGTTTGAATATTAAGATGCACTTTGGGGTCCCGCCTTTCGTACTGAACACACAAGGTGCGAGTCCCCCCCATATTCTGTATCTGGGCCTCCTGAAAATGTTAAAGAGATCTCCCCAAGAAAATATATAGATTTGATAACTTTTCACATTGTGATACCAGTTAAAAATCTTGAACTTCCATATGTAAAATTCATATTTTGCGTCCGAGGCCGAATTCAGCCATTTTTGTAAGAAGCTGAGGATGCAGGGTTGTTGGGCAGGTATATCTGGCGTCAAAAGCCAGGTTTGGTTGAGACTCCTCTCTGCTATCGCTGCGCGCGGCAAGAAAAATGGCGGGGAGGAAGAGAAATAGTGTGTTTGTGCTTGTTTGATACGGCATTGTAGTGTTATGTAAGCGTCCCAAGGAGTGGTATTTTTAGCAAAACATGGCATGCCACCCGCACATGAAGCATTCATCTGTTTCTTCATTGAATTTTCCCAAAATTTATTCGCATGATCCTGGGGGGCTAGGTATCATGGCCGTGCAAAAATAAAAAATGCCATGACGTGAGCAACCCAAAGCGGGCATGGAGGCTTGCCTCATATAGCCTGCCGCATTTCGCATCGAAGTCTAAGATTATGCAAGCGGGTGTATTTCATCTCGACTAGTATATCGGTGAGAACACAACCCTGTCATTCCAGGCTTCGGTTGAGAGCTGGGTTCGACTCCCAGGTCGAGAGTTTTTATTTTTCGTCCTTGCTGCAAGAGCTTCTTTTTGGGCAGGTCTACCGATCGACGCCAGCCACTAATGTTGTACGGGGTAAGTGCACAATAACCGATATCGATAACCATTGATCATATTTTTACTTCAATACTTTCAGGGAAAAACGATGTCTCGACCCTCGGCGCTGAACGGCTTCGTTGTTAATAAGGTGAAATAAATACAAGTACAGGAGAGCAGTCGCGCGCCTCTGCACAAAGCTCATTCACAATACTAGCGTCTCAAGAGAAAAGGTCCAATAATATTGTCTGGAATGTATCACTCGAGCTTCCAGCGACCCAAAAGAATGCCTCTGATGAGGCTCATACCTCCAGTCATGGCATTCTCGTCCTGATCCCAGTATCCGCGTCTGATCCAGACGTCACACCAAATTCTCCCAGACCAAACAAGGAAACACCAGACAAATGCCCGTCGTATCACGCGTTGGGTGTGCGGAGGAGATAGGGTTGATATGGGGGCGACCACCAACGCCTCGATTATCAAACCAAGAGGTTGGACAAGGAAAAAGGTCATGATGGACGGATCGAAGAAGGCGTAATGGGGGTGGAGTTCATCGACTGGGCTGGGGAACATCAGAAGGACGTGAAGGAGCGCTGTGGAGGAGAATACGGCAAAGACGCGGATGGAATTTGCGATGCGGGGAGAGAAATATCTCGACGCGGCCAACCAAGGAAGGTGGGCCATGCGCGTGAAACTGCGGCGGAATGTAAGGTGCCACCTTCGAGTCCAGAAATCAGCGAGACCGGTGGATGCGAATGGGGTGCTGAAGAGGGGTGGCCAGGACTCGGGGTATGCTCCGAGACTGACGGCGATGATAGCCAAAATGTTATGCAAAAGCGCCATCCCGAGATAGTTGAGCATGCATAGGGATATCGAGTATATGGCTTGTTGGTAAACGGGGAGACCAGAACCGGTGACGGGGTACATAAGTGTCGTATCCCATGGTTTGAAGCGGCCTATGCTGTCGAATACATCGGCAAGGAGAAAGCCAAATACGAAAAACGGCACGCGTTGTCGTAAAAAGTCAACGCGGGAGATTCGGGTGGTCGGAGAGGGGAGGAGCGAAGATGGGAGAAAATCCCAGTGTGTGTCCTTGAACCAACTTGATAAAAATAGTGGAAGAGGTAAGCGAGCAATATCTATAAACAATATTGTGTAGCACTTCACCTTGTACCCCGTAGTGAAGTGAATAGATCTAGTGAGTATAAAAACCTCTGGAACACACTGGTTGGCAACGGAGCCACCTTCCCGCCAACGACCCAGCGAGGGGGGTTTTGGTCCCATATGGATACGAAGCAAGAGCTAATAACCGCCATCACACCCAGGTTCGCCATTGTTGCAGGTGTATTGCGATACGAGCGGTATTTATGCTCGTGAGGCCCATATCCTGCGTACCAGAATGCGTAAAGCGCTGGAATGGCGAGACCGAGGCGAAGGTATATAAGGGATCGTTGAGGAATGGCGAGCGTGTAGTTGGCTGCGCATAGCAGTAAGGCGCCCGTCAACATCGGAGGGTACACCGAGAAGGGTATGTACGACATTCTGGAGAGTAAAATCCAGCGACTTGCCCAGCGTCGAGTATTGCGTTTGGAGACGAGGGGAAAAAAAGGCGGGGCTGGGTATAAATACTGCGTAAAATAGATGTTTTACCAGGCTTGCTCGGCGTGCATGGCTGTGCATCAGATTCAGCGGCGATTGAATTCAACCCTCGGGCTTGGTCATTCGCACTAGTACTCAACTTCAGCTCAACAACGCACTCGGGCCCGTCGCCGGGGGCTGGTTCAAATAATATCCAGTCTGCAGACGCCTTTCCGCACCAGGCCGAGCCAACAATGCGGCATCCACCCTGTTGTGAGTTGTCCCTCGTGAACTACAGCCAAGAAATGAATATGTGGGGTCAATCCACGCTGGGGCCGAAGAACTGCTGCAATCAGTGGAAATGGACGAAGGGGACAAAATACGGTAAGACTAGAGTTTGGTGTGCATGATAACCATAGCGAGTTGATCGATGTAACACGGATAACGGGACGGAGCTCATTGAAGCATTTATAGAGACCAAGTCGTCAGGCGAGCTGCCCATGGCACTGGCTATATTTGAACACCTAAGGTCACGGCGCGCTTCTGAGTAATTAGTTTGGTAAGTAGAAGCCGACACAGAAATATCAAACGCAGTCGTCGCGGCGACGAATACTATGCAGAGCGTCGCAGACATCGGTATACGGTAGTCCCAAGCCTATTTTGACTTTGAGGATAATTGACCTAGAAACCTCAAGTACCCGCCCGGACATGGCTTCCTGGGCAGAGCTATAGCGCTTACATCCAGTCAGAGAGTCGATGGGGTGAGACAGAGGTCAACGCGGCCGAAAGATAAGGAGAGGCCCACCGTACTAGAGTTCAATGAGAAGAGGAGGGAAGGTGAACGAACGCCAGGTATAACCGTCATACTTGCCGCAAAGACCACGTCAAGGGAGAACGGAAACGATTGGTGCTACTCGGAACCGTGGAAGCACAGCACGAAGAGAGTCGGAGTACGGTGTGCTGTTGGGATAAGACCTTAAAGTATTAAAAATTCTACCAGCGAGGATCGACAATCAGTACGTGAGTCTGAGAAAATAGCCGCCCTTCAGGAAAGAATTATACCGACTCTACCGGGTTCGGCTTTACACGCAGGTCGACAAGGTTGAAAGCCGACATTGCGACGGCGGCCTCCGCCAGTCTACGCCCGCTCGTTGATCGGTAAAATTGCCATACCACAAGCGCTGCTACGAAGCCCATAAGTTAAATGCTCCGGACGATGAAACGCTCGGTACATATTGATTTCCGAAAAGAAGAATGCGCGTGTCCGCGTGGCGTCGACCGGCGTAACTCGAGGCCGGGTATGAAAACCTCGAAATGATGGTGGTAGAATAAGAAGTGGCAGGATGCGGTGCAATTGGTCGGACTAGTCCACGAGTTCGAGGTTGTGCATCGCCGATGTCATTGTCGTGGACTGTCAACATCATTAAACCTCTATCTCGACTAGTATGTCGGTAGAACACAATCCTGTCTTCCACGGCTTCGGGGTTCGATTCTCGGGTCAAGGATTTCTATACTTACATAAGTTATAACACCTTGATTAATTCCTGGAGGAGAATCAAGTGTGTAAATGTTTTCGATCGGGTTGCTACGGACCTGCCAGTGCTTGCTTTTTGGCGCGAGAAATTTGGTCGCAAGTTATATGCACGCAGCCGAGCCAGTGAAAAGAGAGATGCCTAGAGCCTTGTTAAAAAACTTCAGATGAGGAATCATAGGCGGCCTAGTGATCCCTCTATACAAACGAATGTGCAGCGAAGCCTCTGGCGACGCCAAATGATATCTTACAGGGCTCCCGCTCTGGTTGCCGCTGAGAAGAACAAAGCAGTGGAGGTATCAAAAATGGCAGTGAGGACGGAGTTTGTCGATTGGGTTGGGGCACACCAGGAGAATGTCGGCCAAAGGAATAAGATCATGGCGTATATGACATTGTTGGTGGTGATTGAGAGGTGTTTCGACGTGGCGAATATTAATGGGGGGTGGGCCATGCGCGCAGAACTGCAGCGAATTTGATACAAGTCTCCTGCTCCAGAATTTGAAGGCGGAGATAGGAATAAACGGGAACTCGAGCAGAGGCTGCCAGGATATTGAGTGCGTGGTTTCTTGGTAGAACGGTGGCTGAGACAAGAGCGTTGTGCTCTATAGTTTGATGTGACCGATGGTACGAGTACCACGGGGAGGAGTCCAATCGCCACGAATAGGATGTGTTTCCATACAGAATGAGACACCAAGGAGGTGTATTCGCAGGGTGTAGTGAGGAAGTTCCAATGCATGTTTCTGAGCCAACTATGCCCAAAAGCTAGCAAGCGCTAGCGTGGCAGTATCTCTACCTGATACCACGAAGTAAGTTGATCGGACCAATGAATGCATAAGCCTTTGGGCTCCGCTGGTTAACAGAGGAGCGGCTTTCTCGCGAACAACCGGATGAGGGTGTTCATTCTGCTTTCTATAATGTCAAATAGCATCAGCTTCGACTTCGACAGGTGAGCGCGCTCTTTGTGTTCGTATAGTCCACATCCACCGTACCGGGACGCGCAAGTCGCGGAGACTATCGGGCAAAGACAAAGGTTGAAAGGGGACTCTGAGATGTTGTTAGAGCCCAATCGGCAGCTGGCTAGCGAAGTTGAGAGTCACATAGATGAGAGCGTGTAAGACATCTAGATGGATGGTGTCAATTGATTTACTCAGCCCTAGGGATTGTATACTGCCTTGGGGGGGGGGGGGGTTAATATGACCACGCAATGGACCCTCTAGTTTATCGTTATATATACCTTGCAGTTATAACTTACAAGCCACTTCATGACATAGATCCTTGCAGACGTGTCTAAAAATGTATATCTTCTCCATCGTCGCGTCAAGAGGGCGTGAAGGCCTTCAGGGTTGATCGCCGCTGCGCACCACCAAATTCCCGCGTTCCCTCTCCGTTCGGACCTTCCGAAGATTCAAAAACATCCGCGTCGCAAGCACTGGCGCAGCCACGATGTACGCACTAAGCACGCAGTTATTCAAAGAGCATGAGCAATACTCTTGATCCAGAGCAGAGGAACGCACTGTGTTGAAATTTGGTACAAAGCCCGCTACAGAACAGCAGTGTGACTTTCATCCGGCAAGCGTGATGAAGGAGCGATCAACTTACACCCCCAATCGCACATCCGGTAAGGATCAGCCCTCTCACCGCTAGGGTAGCATCAAAAAATACATCATCGCGTCAGGGGATGCCCTCGGCGATCTCAAGTCAGCAAAGTTAGATGGTGCGCACGGGGTAGGGCCAGGTAATACCCGGCTCCATCCCGGTAGTACACTCGCAGCAACGGTGGTCTGCAATCATCTAACCTTCGATGTTGGGTGGCCTTGACAAGAACTAACACAACCAGAATTGTGTCAAAT